CGTGGCGTGCTCTGCGACGTCACGTCTGACTCGCAGGGACATTTCATTGCAGCCCCAGGCCCAGACTAGAGACAACCCAAATGTCCATGCCCAGCGAAACGCGGGCGCCGCTGCTGTCGTATTCGGGCGGAGACGGCGGCGCTGGGAGGGCGGTTCCGGCCGTGGGGACGCGGACGAACGAAGCCGCGGGAAAGCGATCAAACGCTCGAATCCACGTGCCGCGGGCGGAGCTGAACTCTTCTGTAGAGCGCTGTTCACGAACGCTGAAACCAGTGCAGTCCAAGGAAACCCCTCCTGCAAAACCCAAAAGAGTGGTGTCGCCCTCGCGGGGAGTGGGGACGCGGCGGGCGCCGCAGTTGAGGTGACAGCGGCCGCACCGCGGCCCGAACCGTCTGTACACGGGTTCCTTGTGCGGATGCTCATTACGTTGTACATTTATGTCTCATTTTTCTCTCCACGTGTTACGTTTCATAATCAGAAGATAAAATACATTTTTCCTTAAAGCAAGTGTCCTTTTCTCTAATAATTCACACTTATTTTTATGCGCTATCACCTGAGGCTTCCAGCAGAGGAACGGAGTCAGCAGGATATACGAGTAACGACAGGTTTATCGCAGGAAACCAGCTGGTGTCATCAGGATGGCAGCCAGGCTGCTGTCACGACGCAGCCAGGCAGGCCCTGCGGGAGGGCAGCCGAGGTCACAGTGAGAAAGTGTTCTCAGGAGGGCCGCCTCCTGCTCTTTCGCCTTCCACCGACCCGGTCAGTCCCCCCGGACCATCTTCTTCGCTTGGTCAGCTGGCCGTGGGTGTCAGTCACCTTGACAGCGCACCTTCAGAACAGGGCTCAGAGCAGCGTGCCAGTGACCATGGCGTCCCTCTTAGCCAAGCTGGTGCATAAAACTCAGTAGCACAGGTGCCATATCTTCTCCTGTCCCTTTATTTTATGTACGTCTTCGTATTTAATATGTATTTATTTAAATAACATAATTTGATTTGCTTTTTATATTCAGTCTGACACTTTCTGCCTTTTCATTGGGATCTTTAAACCCGTTTAATGCGGCTATGCATATTGCTCTAAGCGTATCACTGTTTCTTCCCCATTTTATTTTTTTGCTGCATCTGTTTTCTGGCATTCAGTTCAGTCATTTGAAT